ATGTATCATCATCTCTGACTGACGTGTAGGGGTGCGAGGTGTCAACTGGTGACGAGAACTGCTGCTGAGGTCCCAATTCAGCAACTGAAGTTCGAGCTAGAGGAACTATGGCCCTCTTTGTCCTTCTACAGTCAGATTGCAGAAGATTGGGTACTCTTGACCCGGGGCAGACCACAGTACCAGGGTACCAATATGATGATCTGTCAAAATGAGAAATATTCAAGGGACATAGATGGTAAACACGAGTAATAACACGGAGGGAGAGATGACCAATTAAGAGTATGACTGCGGCCTACAGTCACCACGTAATCCAAAGTTGTCTCACCTTCACCATATGTTACTCTCGTAATGCACAATACACCGCACCTTATAAAAAATGAAATCGAATATGAAAAATAGTAAAGCTACGTTAACAAAGTTAAATACGCTTACCATAAATTACCACTTGGCACCAGTACCTGAGTGAAGCTCCTAGGACAGGCCCCCATATAACTTGTGACGGTAACGCGTTGGTGTTCGGCTGTTTAAGGCTAGGGGTATGGCCTCGTCACATAGTTATAAAAAAAATAGAAAAACTGGAACTTCGTCTGTGGTAAGGTAAGGAGAAGACACACAAAACACAAGTAAATTTTAACAATGAAATTTTAATTACGTTAAATAAATCAAAACATGAAAAAATGGACAAACAAATTCTTATAATAAAATCAATCAATCAAAATAATAAGAATAATTAAATGACACAATGAAAAGTTACGTTAAGGCAAAATAACAAGAAGTGCAACACAAAATTAAAGGGAAGGTGCTGGAATATTGGCTTTAAGCTACCACCTCTCTCAGTACACGCTAACGTCTAGCCGGGAGGAGTGGTAACCACGAAAGCACTGAATATTCTGAGGTCTGAGGTCGTGGCGACCCCAGACATCAAGTAGTATGGGGGGGTGGAGTGCAGGTGCAGCCAGACCGGCGACCAATCAGCGGAGCCGGTAGCGATCAACAGGTAGTTTGGCGGTTTGAGTCTGAACAGGTGTCTCTGGCTGCAACGTTTTGCGCTCTGGCAAACCTTGCTGGTGTTGTTGTCGTTGTTGGACATTTCTTCCATAGTAGTATTATATAATTTCAACGACGTAATTGTGGAGGGAAGAGCAGGCTCAATCTCTTGAAGGAGATTATCGTCACAATATATATATATGCGAACAAGCCTGAATGGTCCCCAGGACTATATGCAACTGAAAACTCACACCCCAGAAATGACTCGAACCCATACTGCCATAAGCAAAGCAACTGGTATGTACAGGACACTTTAATCCACTCGACCATCACGACCAGACAAAAAGAGGTAATAGCCGAAGCTATTTGAACCACCCCTCCACCGGCACTCGGATGGTAATCTTGGGCATAGTATTTTATCAAATCACCTCATTCTTTGGGGCACACGTGAGGAACACATATGCGAACAAGCCTGAATGGTCCCCACGACTATATACATCTGAAAACTCACACCTCAGAAGTGACTCGAACCCATATTGCAGGAGCAACGCAACTGGTATGTACAGGACTCCTTAATCCACTCGACCATCACGACCGGACAAAAAGAGGTGATAGCCGAGGCTATTTGAACCACTTGAAATTGGGACACGGTCGGCCAAGTGGACAGCACGCTGGACTTATGATCCTGTGGTCCTGGGTTCGATCCCAGGCGCCGGCGAGAAACAATAGGCAGAGTTTCTTTCACCCTATGCCCCTGTTACCTAGCAGTAAAATAGGTACCTGGGTGTTAGTCAGCTGTCACGGGCTGCTTCCTTGGGGTGGAGGCCTGGTCGAGGACTGGGCCGTGGGGACACTGAAAGCCCTGAAATCATCTCAAGATATCCTCAAGATAACCCCTTCACCGGCACTCGGATGTTGCATTGCTACTGGCAGTATAGGTTCGAGTCACTTCTGGGGTGCGAGTTTTCAGTTACATATAGTCCTGGGGACCATTCAGGCTTGTTCGCATTTGTGTTCCTCACGTGTGCCCCAAAGAATGAGGTGATTTGATAAAATACTATGCCCAAGATTACCATCCGAGTGCCGGTGGAGGGGTGGTTCAAATAGCTTCGGCTATCACCTCTTTTTGTCCGGTCGTGATAGTCGAGTGGATTAAGGTGCCCTGTACATACCAGTTGCATTGCTCCTGGCAGTATGGGTTCGAGTCACTTCTGGGGTGTGAGTTTTCAGTTATATATATATATATATATATATATATATATATATATATATATATATATATATATATATATATATATATATATATATATATATATATATATATATATATATTATTAAATATGACCGAAAAAGTAAGATTAATAATTCTAACACGAATTTTCTCAATCTTTCGTACATTTCTTTTCACTGTTGGAGGTAATTCAAAAATCAATTCTCCAAAATTCATTTTTATTTCTAGTCTGACGCGACACGAGCGCGTTTCGTAAAACTTATTACATTTTCAAAGACTTTAGTTTACAAATACACAACTGAATAGAACTTATACATCTCCGGTTTTGTTTATATCTACATTTGAGTAAGGTGGATGGGGTGAGGTGGCATTAATAGGGTATTAATTTCATCAACACAAGACAGAACAAGAGGTGGCATTAATAGGGTATTAATTTCATCAACACAAGACAGAACACGAAACAATGGGTATTGAAATGGAAGTGATTGTAGAAAGCCTATTGGTCCATATTTCTTGATGCTTCTATATTGGAGCGGAGTCTTGAGGTGGGTAGAATATAGTTGTGCATTAATTGGCTGTTGATTGCTGGTGTTGACTTCTTAATGTGTAGTGCCTCGCAAACATCAAGCCCCCTGCTATCGCTGTATCTATCGATGATTTCTGTGTTGTTTACTAGGATTTCTCTGGCGATGGTTTGGTTGTGGGAAGAGATTATATGTTCCTTAATGGAGCCCTGTTGTTTATGCAGAAACAACAGGGCTCCATTAAGGAACATAGCAGGCAGCTTGACGTTTGCGAGGCACTACACATTAAGAAGTCAACACCAGCAATCAACAGCCAATTAATGCACAACTATATTCTACCCACCTCAAGACTCCGCTCCAATATAGAAGCATCAAGAAATATGGACCAATAGGCTTTCTACAATCACTTCCATTTCAATACCCATTGTTTCGTGTTCTGTCTTGTGTTGATGAAATTAATACCCTATTAATGCCACCTCTTGTTCTGTCTTGTGTTGATGAAATTAATACCCTATTAATGCCACCTCTTGCTCTGTCTTGTGTTGATGAAATTAATACCCTATTAATGCCACCTCACCCCATCCACCTCACTCAAATGTAGATATAAACAAAACCGGAGATGTGTAAGTTCTATTCAGTTGTGTATTTGTAAACTAAAGTCTTTGAAAATGTAATAAGTTTTACGAAACGCGCTCGTGTCGCGTCAGACTAGAAATAAAAATGAATTTTGGAGAATTGATTTTTGAATTACCTCCAACAGTGAAAATAAATGTACGAAAGATTGAGAAAATTCGTGTTAGAATTATTAATCTTACTTTTTCGGTCATATTTAATAATATATGTCTAATATATATATATTAGATATATAATAATATATAATAATATATATTAGTATATAATAATATATACTAATATATATATATATATATATATATATATATATATATATATATATATATATATATATATATATATATACTTATATATATATATATATATATATATATATATATATATATATATATATATATATATATATATATATATATATATATATATATATATATATATACTTAGGTAGCAGTCTTTGTTGTAAACATATGTTGTTAAATATGCCCGAAAAAGTGAGATTAATAATTCTAACACGAATTTTCTCAATATTTCTTGTTTCTTTTTACTGTGGATGGTAATTGAAAAATCAAATCTCCAAAAATCCTTTCGTCGTTTTTGACGACGACGCTTCGGTCCGTCCAAGTCGGACATTCTCAAGTCGATTGTGACAATCTACTTCAGAATGGTCCAGGACGGACCGAAACGTCGTCGTCCCTTCACCTTCTAGTGTGTGGTCTCGTCAACATACTTTAGCCACGTTATTGTGACTCATCGCCTGCATACAATTTTATGATACACTTGATGCACTGTGTATGAAACATTTGACATAACCCCTCGCTTCTTATTGGTTTGGGTGAGGTGGGTACTAGGTGAGGTGGGTACATGAGAATGGAAGTAACTGCAGAGGGCCTATTGGCCCATACGTTGCATTGAAGAGGGTAGAATATAGTTGTGCATTAATTGGCTGTTGATTGCTGGTGTTGACTTTTTGATGTGGAGTGCTGCGCTGATGTCGAGCCACCTGCTATCGCTGAACAAATAGTGTAATACGGGGTACAAGTGTTGTGTTGGTTGACTCTTCAGAGATTGCTGAATTTGAAAGATGTAAAACTTTAAACTAAGCTAAAAAAAAATGTACACACAAGAAATGATTACCACATTCAGTAAACACCTACTGACTTGGCTGACTGAGACAACATATAGACGGTCTTGATGATTGCATTATTACTTTTAAGATGAAAAACTTTAAACTAAACTGGAAATGTACACACAAGAAATGATTCCCAAATTCAGTAAACACTTACTGACTTGGCTGACTGACTGAGACAACATATAGACGGCCTTGATGATTGTATTATTTTCTTTTTATGTAAAACTTTAAACTGAACTAGAAATGTTCCCACAAGAAATGATTACCACATTCAGTAAACACTTACTGACTTGGCCGACTGACAGCCAATGCACTAGACAGACTAGACAGGTTTAACTTAATATGGTATTTGGACGAATAAAGAACTAAGAGTGGTAAATATTGTGTTTCATTGTAAGGAGCATATCCTCCCACATTGGGTTGATGTAGTCTAACCCCTTAATGTCGCTGTTAACACGTGAGGGGAGGCTAGGAGAGACAACCCGCTGGTTAGACGATGACGGCAGCCTGGACGCCGGGCACTAATGAGACAAATGTCACACACAGTGCTAAACGCCTCAAGGTTGTCTTGCCCGTCATCATCGGAGTCAAGGTCAGTCGGTTTGAAACTGACTGTCTAAGAGAGAACATATACGAACTTGATGATCGTATTATTATTATTATTATTAACTTTTAAAAATGGAAAAAAACTTTAAATAAGCTTGATGGTAGAAGCTAAATATAAAGAGCGCTAAATATCTGTTTAATTCGCTCTACCACTAAGATGATGGAAATGCTCATAAATTCTTCTCACTCAGCTAGTGTTGTCTAAAGTGCGAACATGGCTGGATATAACGCTCTAGGCCTCCAGGTCCCATTAGAACACTATAGTGCCGCTGTTAGTGAGGCTTTTCCTAAAATATTTTCTCCTCGATTGGTAGAATCAACAATTGCAAGCAGACAAACGGTGGGTTTATTACCTGTGAATTCTGGAGTGAATAATAAGTTTACAGACACCTATCTGGAATTCATCATAAAGGGAGTGAATGGTCAGCTGGTGGACTTATCATCTATTGCTTTGGAGTTGTCTACTGATCTAACTGAAGAAGACGGAACAACACCTTTAGGAGATGCTAAAACATCTCATTAGTGAATGGATTGTCGCAAACTCTATTCAAATCTGCTATTATGTATTTAAAACGAAACATAAAGCTGCAATCTACGATTTCAGGGTGTAAGGCTACGCGCTATGATAAACTGTCTCAGTTTTTTTAAATCGTGTTGATCCTAGCAAAATTGAAGCCGGCTATTTCACTAATGCCTCAGCTGGAGAGAAGCAGTGGATGACAGATATGAGCGGTGTAAATACCTGCTTCAAACTAATGTTGGATGTTACATCGGTTAGTGAATACGTTTTGGATAATGTAGACCTTAGAGTGTGTCTTGAACTACAACCAGATAAATGGCTTGTACTCAGTGATAATGAACAAGCTAATTTAAAATATAATATCAAGTCTACACGTCTATGATTTTCCACATTACATTACATTGTGTGTGTTACACGGTCTAAAAACAGTCACACAGTAATAGAACGAACGATGTTTGCATGTTGGTCACGTTACATTAGGTAGACACGCTTTACATTTCAAAATAATATTTATTTTGGACAGCAGAACACTGATTTTCCGCGTTACGTTACATTGTGTGTGTAACAAAGATGAAACAGTTACACAGTAATAGAACGATGTTTGCATGATGGCCCCATTATGTTGCGAGGTGTAAAACACACACTAGCATTGATTTGATTTGTTATAAGAAGACTGAAGACTGGTATGTGACGAGGCTCGTTACTCTTAAAAGTTATTTTGGGAAAGAACGATTTTTGCACATTTTTAAATATTATTATTGTTGTCGTTGCAAATGACTTAGTGTTTAATATCAGAATAAAATATATAAATGGGTTTACACCCTTAACTACATATTTGTTCTGAATACCGAGACATGCATTGTAAGTGCCCAACCTGAGGGTGTGTCAAGTGAATGGGGGAGGGGCGGGGGCTGGAGTGCCCGCTTCTCTGATGTACACACACTAGTAGCCTAGAGGTTGTATACTCCAGATGTTCGAGTAACCGCTCACATCCTCCAAGTGTTGAAGAGAGGAGGAGACCAAACTCAGAAGAGGAGACCTCTTGTGACTGATAAGGTGGGCTGACAGGCCACTGTGAAGGCTGAGGTGGCAAGAGGAACAAATACACACTTCTACTTCTTTACTGTGAAAAAACGTAACAAAAACATAAATGTAGAAGTGGCTACCCGACATCCCTCTTTTTTAAATTAACGCAAATAAACAGAATGTGTGTGCTCCTACCTTATTATTATTATTATTGTTATTATTATTATTATTATTATTATTATTATTATTATTATTATTATTATTATTATTATTATTATTATTATTCTACTCATTGGTATAAAACACGCCCACTGTTTAGTGTAAGACGCTGGAGGGAGCTCGTGAGGGGATATTTTGGGGGGGTTATTGTTGACATAATACTCCTGGCCCCCACTCATCTACCTCAGTCACACCACCGCCATCAAAGAGGTAGGCCGCTCGAACGCCTGCTCCCCCACCCATGTGGTATGACTCATGCGCCTATGTGACATGGGCATGTGGTAACTATGCGGCACTCCATAGCGGGTCTAGGCTGAAAAGGAGGGGAGGGGGGCTTTGTTTACAAATATTATTGTGGCTACCTCTCACAGGTCAGTACACGCTGAGACATCCCGATGGGAACAGTCGGGTATGACACCTAACTAATGTCACCTCTTACACCCTGTGTTGAAGGCCTAGGAAGCAGAAGGCGGAGGCAATAACAGCGGTGGACGGGGATGGTGAGAATGTTATACGTTTTTGGTAAAATATACACACTTCACTCTGTCATCTGTCCTTTCCTACATACCACAGAAATGTTGTTTAAAACCATGAGAGTGTGAGGCACACTACCACCCCAGCCAGCCAAACCTCCTGGGTGGACTTCTTCACTCCCCCTCCACCCTCATCTGCTTCACACGCCCTTCCCTAACCGTACACCTAAAATGCCTGATGGTCTCCTAGGCTCGTCTTCCCATAGGAATGGCCCCCTTTCTCCGCCCTCAACATATCCTTCTCTTTCCTTCATACTTTTATTTAATTACTAGCTGTACCCTGCCATACGCTGCTGTGGCTCAGCAATGCATGTGCATGCCTGAGCCCCAACACCCTTTCCCTTGTCTCCTAGTCCTCCCCATCATTCCCCCTCTTCCGTCCCCTCGTCCTCCCAGCCATTCCTTACTCCCCAGTCCCTTTGTCCTCCCAACCATTCCTCACTCCCCCGTCCCCTCGTCCTCCCTAACATTTCCTCCCTCCCCCATCCCTGTGTCCTCCCTACCATCCCCCACTCCACCGTCCCCTCGTCCTCCTAACCATTCCCCACTCCACGATGCTATCGTCCTCTCCACCATCTTCCTCTCCCCCGTCCTCTCGTCCTCCAAATCATTCCCCCCTCCCCTGTTCCCTCGTCCTCCGCACCATCCCCCACTCTCCTGTTTCCTTGTCCTTCACACCAATCTCCATTGCATTGTCCCCTCGTCCCCCCCATCCCCAACTCCCCCGTCCCCTCGTTTTCCCCACCATTACCCTCTCTCCTGTCCCGTCGTCCTCAGTACTATCCCCCACTCCCGTCCCCTCGTCCTCCCCACAATTCCCATCTCCCTCATCCAATGCATTCCCATGTGATCTGATGTTCCCTTCAGAAAATTGGGAACATCAAATGATCTGATGTTCCCATCAATGAAATATAATAAAATCAAATAAAAAATGCAATGAAAAACAATGAAAAAATATATAAATAGACAACTCTCATGAAATGAACGGTATAGTAAACAACAAAGCTCAACTCCTCAATTCCATCGCAGTGTCACACAAAATAATTAAATCAAAATGAAAATAATTCGATATCTATGAAAATTCTATTCATTAATGCTGTCTGAAACAATGAAATGGAATTGAAACATATTTAGTATAATGTGGATGGCTCTTATGTGCAACAGATGGCACTGTTTTTCAAAAGAAACATTTTTTTTCCTGTCACAGGTGTGGCATCCATACTTATACACACGAAATGAACGATATAGTAAACAACATAGCTCAGTTTCAATGCTATGTCACACAAAATAATTAAATCAAAATTAAAATAAATCGAAATCTATGAAAATTCAATTTATCAATGCAATCGGTAACAATGAAAAGAAATCGTAGCATATTTAGGATAGTGTGTGTGGCTCTTACGTGCAACAGATGGCACTATTTCTTTAAAAAAAGATAATATTTTTACCTGTCACAGGTGAGGCATTTATACTTATACATATGAAATGAACGGTATGGTAAACAACACAGCTCAATTCCAATGCAATGTCACACAAAATCTTTCAATACAAATTAAAATAAATCAAAATCTATGAAAATTAAATTTTTCAATGCAATTGGAAACACTGAAATGGATTTCGTAACATACAGGTATTTAGTATTGCAAGTGTGTTACTATTATGTGCAACAGATGGCGCTGTTTTCGAAAAAAGCAGTTTTATCTGTTACAGATGTAGCATCTATATAGTAGGTATATAAATACATGTGCATATTCGAATGGAATGTTGTGTCAGAATTTCAAAGCAATCGGTGATGAACTTTCGGAGATTACAGTGTGTGTTGCTCTTACGTCCAACAGATGGCGCTGTTTTTAAAAAAAACATGTTTTTTCCTGTCTTAGGTGAGGCATGTATATAGAAGGTATATAAAAATACGCACTTATTCGAAGGCAACGTTGTGTCAAAATTTCAAAGCAATCAGTACAGTGGTTTCGAAGATTTCTCTCACATGAAAAACACATGAAAAACACAGTTTTTCTAAAAAACATGCTTTTTCCGTCACAAACATGACATCTATATAATATGTAGATAAAATCCCGCTCGGATGTGAATGGAACGTTGTGTGAAAATTTCAAAGCAATCGGTGAAGAACTTTCGGAGTTCTTCTATGTGTGTGTGTACTCACCTAATTGTGCTTGCGGGGGTTGAGCTCTGGCTCTTTGGTCAAAGTGTGTGTGTGTGTGTGTGTTTATATATATATATATATATATATATATATATATATATATATATATATATATATATATATATATATATATATATATATATATATATATTGGTAGCAGTCTTTCCTGTAGACGTATATTATTAAATATGACCGAAAAAGTAAGATTAATAATTCTAACACGAATTTTCTCAATCTTTCGTACATTACGCTTCACTGTTGGAGGTAAATCAAAAATCAATTCTCCAAAATTCATTTTTATTTCTAGTCTGACGCGACACGGGCGCGTTTCGTAAAACTTATTACATTTTCAAAGACTTTAGTTCACAAATACACAACTGAATAGAACTTACGTATCTCCGATTTTATATCTACATTTGAGTGAGGTGGAAGGGGTGATGTGGCATTAACACAAGACAGAACAAAATGTGGTATTAATAGGGTATTAATTTCATCAACACAAGACAGAACAAGGGTATTAATAG